CACCATCAGCAACAACGTACTGTGGGAGAGAACAAACCAGATTCCAGTGGAGGAGGAAATCAGGAAGAAGCGGTAGAAGTGGATAGGACACACTACGAAAAGCACCTAATTGCGCCACGAGACAAGCCCTTATATAGAACCCTCAAGAAAAAAGGAAAAGATGAAGGCCAAGGAACACATTACGCCGAGAAATAGAGAAAGATATGAGAGGAATGAACAAACATTCGACAGAAATGGAGAGGGAATCCCAGGACAGAGTTGGTTGGAGAAAACTGGTGAGCGGCCTATGCTCCATTGGAGGTAACAGGCGTAAGTAAGTAAGGGCAGAGTTAGTTAGAGATCTTTGGTCTGTGGGTAATTAACTACATGAACTGACTGTCTGAATGGAAACATTCACTTTTCAAGTACCTGGATGTCTAAACGAAAATAAATTTTATACTCACAGTTTTACTTTAAGATTGGCCTGATGTATACATTCAACAGATCGACTATAAAACAATCTTCTGTCATACCGATTTAAGTTGACTCTTTACCCCATGCCTTAGTCCAGTCTTTAAAAAAGCTGTATACTTTACATAGAATGTCATGAAATTTTTTCATTCTGATAGATAAGTGAAAAAAAAATTCGCACTGATTTCTGAAAATTCTATGGGCATTCATACTAAATATTTTCTCAATGGAATTTATTTTACCTAACTAAGTAGAGTAAACAACTCAGAAAACATTTTAACTTTGTTTTTAAAATGATAATGTAGTTTGTTTGTTTTTGAGAATTCTGCTGATCCACGACTCCTGCACCCCGCAGGATTCGAACCCAGGACCTTCGGCATTATGCGCGAACGCCCTAACCGTCAGACCACTGAGCCGGTAACGCAAGTTACCTGTGCTCACTACTGACTAACATCGTGAGGAATCTTCTCCGAGTTCTATTGGGAAGACGTGACCAGTGAAGTTCAACCTGTTCGGGTGTAGGCAGTGTCAACGGAAGACTGTGTATGAGGTTGCGCAACTCCGTGAATTTGATCAAGTTAGACATTAACACCGTCGGACACCGGCTCAGTGGTTTAACAGTTAGGGCGTTCGCGCACAATACCGAAGGTCTTGGGTCCGAATCCTGCGGGGCGCAGGAGTCGTGGATGCGCAGTGGTGATGAGTTCCATACCAGGACTTGACGGCCGTCTAGTGATTCCAGGTTTCTAATGGTAGTCTAACATTAATCGATTCATGGTTTCAAAAATGTGTAACTTAACAATCTTCACAACCCCGTAATGCAAATTCTGTTGATCACGTATTGTTGTTCAAGAAATAATATCAGTAAAGAAAGCATATCTAAATTCCCTATTATCAAAACAAAACATAATTTACCTTCTATAATGTAAAAGTAGTCTAATTTGTTAATTTCTGGAATTCATGTGAAAATTATTGATCAACGCCTGGAATGTTACACTGACATTTTATTGAATTCACGTGACAATGTTATTTATTGACTTGATTGATTTTGAATTGTGATTGGTTGTTTTTGTGCATTACACATGAGATTATAACATGTTCATTGAATAGTTTATGTAATTTTTATTTTCGGATGTTTACGTGTCGCATAGAGTGAATGAAATTACTTAAGTTGAAATGGGTTTACTCTGTCCAACAATTTTTATTTGATTTTGTAATTTACATCACGAAGTAAGTGCGCCTTGCCGATTGGGGATTGTGGGTAGTGGATTGGTTGGAGGGATCTCTTGATCCATAAGTGCCCGGCCGGGGGCCACGGCTCGTGTGTGTACTTTTTGGATGTCCAACTAGTCTGCAGTCCAATCTAGACAACATGTATGTTCCCGATTGGGGCAGCGGTGACTACTGTTGGCTACAGTGAGAATCCTTGCGTTGCTTAACAAAGCAGCGATGTGCGTATGTGCAGCAGGCCTGTTGGTTGACCATCAAATAGTTTACTCTGTCCAATAATTTCTACTTAATTTTGTAATTTACATCATGAACTAATTATATTAGTTAGACAACGATGGAAAATTAAGTAGCATTGAAGAACAGATAGGGGGGAGTAACAGTGAAGGGGGAATGAGTAAATCATTCATTTTGATCGCCTATTTTCATTTTTAGTCGAAGACAATTATTGAAAGACCTCTCAATGAGTGGTTTCAGACTGATTTATGTTCATACGCACCCAAGTCTATAAAAACTATTAAAGATCAGGAATCATTCTATTTTAACATGTCTTGGCCTTTGAGATGGTGGAGAAAACTTGTAGCTCAGGTGGATGATTGTGGTGGTGTTTCGTTCTCTGAGCTGGTTGTTTTGGTTGTGGAGCTTTCATTGTTCTTCTGAACATCATCAGCACAAAACAACCAGCTCAGAGAACGAAACACCACCACAATGTCTTGGCCTTACACATGAATCTTTTTCTTAATAGAAAAATTATGGAAATACTAGAGCTACTATTGATTACTTTCTTGTCAGTATTAACTGTGATTTTTTAATGCATTATGAAACATTATAAACGATTCAGTCGCTCAAGCAGGACAACAACCCAGTGATCTGTTGGGGATGTTAGTTCCCCAAAACTCGCTTGATAAATGCCCTTATTTTGGTTTTCACGTTTGCCAGCATGGGCTGATCAGTTGACCTTGAGATTTCAATTCCCACCAGGAAAACCCATGGCTGTGATTGGCTGCTGTGTATTTTAGTGTGCTATTTTCGTAACTGTCCCAAGGACGTTTCTATGATGCATAAATAAACGAGAGTTGTATGCTTGATTGTACTGTGATTGTTGGTAGTTGTAGAATATACTTTCTACGCTTATAAAGCCTTCTTACTTCAGTTTGGGATTAAAGGTAGCCTACCTGGACGCTGGTAAAAGTCTCGTTCGCGTTTATCGATTAAGTGACGAACACAATAGATCTAAATGTTGATCGTTATTCACAATGCTTTACGGTCCCGAATTTGATTTCTGGTTGGATGGTGTGCTGGCAAAACTGAGAAGTTTTGTATTAGGAAGAAACTAATTTCCAAACATTCCTAGTTGTCTAACTCAAATCAATCGGTAATCTAAAGCCACAAAATTTCTAAATTATCCTCAATTATTTTTATGGTCCTACAGGTTTGACGCCAGTATATTGGAAACATTTTAACATCACTAAAAACCTCACTTTGCTTCATACCTTCATATGGTTGAACTTCTGAATATTTTTCAGCTAAGGAAATACTACTCTACTAACTGGACCAGTCTAGACATCCATTCACTTTCCAATATATCTCTGACTACTAATGATACTTACTGAAGGTGCCTGAATTCGCCTATATCCTTTAGCGATGCTGATTGAATTCATTTACTAGTCTTTAAAACTGTAGTCGATTAGTAGTTTACTTTCTATTAAGTTGGTTAAGTTTTATGAAGTAAGATCATCGAGACACCCAACGTATGAGTACATGATTCGCTGAATTTTATTATGAGTTTGCGTATTATCCAAACCTATGGTTCCTCTCCAATTATTGGGATATATTAACCAAGGTAATCCTAGATAGTATATTCAACAATTATTCAGTTATTCTATTTCACAAATTATAGAAGTAAACTTCATTGATTAGTTATTTAGATTCACAGTAAATAGCCTCTTATTCGTCAACCATGAAACACTAAACAACTGATCGCTTCACTTATCTGGGGAGTCTCATCGGCGCTGATGGTCTGGTGACTGACGAAATCTCAGCACGCATACAAAAGGCTTGACTGGCTTTTGCCAACCAGCTTCACCTTTGGCGTATGCGAGATATCCGTTTGCTGACTAAAGGACGAGTGTACTGCGCAGTAGTTCGCTCCGTCTTACTTTATGGCTGTGAAACATGGCCAGTAAGAGTAGAAGATATTCGTCGGTTATTGGTTTTCGATCATAGGTGTCTTCGAAGCATTGCTCGTATATCGTGGGACACCCGAGTGAGCAACACTGTTATTAGGAAACGGGTACTAGGTAAGAATGCCGGACCAATCGATGAAGTGGTGAAACTTCATCAGTTGTGGTGGTTGGGACATGTGCTGAGTATGCCTAACCACCAACTGCCTCGAAGAGCTTTGTTTTGTAGTGTAGGAATAGGTTGGAAGAAAGTTAGGGGCGGACAAACCAAAACATGGCACAAATCCATGAAGTCATTGACGAGTGCACTTAGCCATGTCGGTAATTGTCGACTACCTGGTTGGGGTCTGCGAGATGATAATAATCGATGGTTAGAGAACTTGAATGACATGGCTCAAAATCGTTCGCAATGGCGCCGGCTCATTTATTCTTTGTGTTCTCTCAAATCCTAATCTTCTGGATTCTTCAGCATCTCTAGTTTTGACTTTCTAAACTTTTCTCATTCAATCATACTTCTTGAATAATAATCTTGTCATCCTAACCTATCCGATTACTTCCAGCACCCTTACTACCTGTTCTACTATTGGGTTTGAATTGACAATTACATCTCTGTGCTGATGTGGTATGGCGACATGAACTGATGTACTTACGTACGAGGTTCTACGTTGCATCTGACTGACTGACTGAAACAACTGATATAGAACCGGAAACTGATGGACTTTTAAAGTATACATTTCAGCTATTGATAACTTCATGCGGTTTCATCTTAATGAAAATAGAACTGAGGAAAGATACTAAAACATTAGTTCTATCAATTAATTAGAATCATTCACATCATCTCAACATTTCAAAACTGTGTATAAGAAGAATAAACTTTAAGTGCGTTTCTAGACCACAACATGAATTAGAAATCGATTGAAATTAATTACCCAACATATTTAGTCAAAATATCCTCATCTTTCCAGCAATTCTTAGCGTAAAGGTTGATTATATATGTATACTTAATGTCTGAGATATTATGCCTCAAGGCTAACAATTTTAAGGTATATATAATAACTATAAATTGTTCCCACTAAATGACCACCTACCGTCACCTCACTAACAATAAGTTTTGTCTAATGAAATATAATAAAAATCATTAAATTATTTCATTGTATATTTAGAACATAACAAATTTAAATTTTAATGGATAATAACTGAAATAATGAACTAAATTAACATATATTATTTCTTCATTAATAACAACTGTGGGGTTCGAACTAATAAGGATGTCTTGTTTTTTTTTACAGTAAATATTGAGATATTACTAATAATAATAACAAAGCAAACAAAAAATGGACATAAAAAAGGAGAGAAAATAGTGATATGAGAGAAGAGATAAAATTGAAGAGGAGTGGTGGGGAACAAGAAGAAAAAATTTTTATAGAACATGTTCAACAATGTTCAACATTATTTAGCTTTACATATATCAGTAAATTCCGGTTTCAATGATGCACCACCAACTAGAAATCCATCAACATCAGGTTGATGTGCTAATTCCTTACAATTGGCGGCAGTCACTGATCCTGTGTATATGTAATAAAGGAATAAAAAGGTTGTTTTTGACTATAGGAATTCACGTGAATAAGAAAAAATTATAGGATTTATTTTCAAGGATAAACTAACCAAATAGTTATAGACCTGTTTGTCTTTCCTATTTGGGACTTGCCAACTGAATGTACCTACCGCTTAGTTTTAATTTTAAGATTGAGACTCAATTACGATAATCATTCACTTCAAACGTTTATAAAACTATCTACCGAGCTAGTTAAAATAGATAGCTACTAACTGGTTCACTACGAACATATTTCTATCATCGCGAATAGGTGTCTGAGTTGCAACCAGATTATCAGTCTTAAGCCCGACCGTAGCTGCTACCTTGACGTGGTGGTCGGGCTTGCCTATCGTCATGACCCAACCGAGCTATATTGGCTGGAACATATGTTCCTGAAGGTTCTACCATACCAGGCAGGTCGATTGGAGAACGATAAGACTAAAAGCAGTTAATCAAGGTCTGAGGGCGAAGTCGTACTGCTGACTGCAGAGGGGTGGGACAGCAGTAAGGTGTTTCCCCCAGACGACCAGCATCTGCAACGATGCTGCCTTCTGACAAGGAAGGAAGGGTTAGAAAAGGTCGACCCTAAAAATGTCACACCTCACCCTACCTCACAGAGTTCCGTCTCCGGCGGTAAGGGCGCCCACTAAGGACTTTTAAGAGCGGAGCTAATACTCAAAAAACCTTACATCAAAAGTCGGTGCGTGACCGGTCTCAAGCAGTTGTCCCTTGGGCTCTGCAGTCACGCTCCCAGGTCTCTAAGACCAATACTAACCTACCTGCCTTTTCAGGTCCCTCAAGAAAACCCTTCCACGGTGCGGGCAGCTGGAAAGTGACAACCGCCCTCATACCCGTAACAGCACGAGGGACCGAATTGGTCAAAATCAAATCCTTCTTACACCCCTTAGTATCTCTCTTATCTCTACGACTAACTCTTGTCGCATTCCTTCAGCTCACTGAACCGCTAATGCAAACGATCAGTCTTAAATTGAATGAAACGCACGTCGTAAACTCTAATACTAGTAAGAATCTGTATATTTTGAACAACTTATGCATAACGACTATGTACAGCACAACAGGAACATATGCCAACAAGACAAATCTAAATTCTATTCTGAATGTCAATAATTGAATAGACACGTCATACTCGTTGAACAAGTAAGTGGTTATCTAGACTCAGTAGTTCAATAGATAATACATCAATGTTTGAATTGAACGGTACTGAGTCTGTCTCTCAGTATAGATATTTACAACAGGAAACAAGTAAATCTGGCTAATGAGTTTAAAACAGGACGATAGATGCATCTTGTAGTTCAGTGTTGTTAGCTACAAACCATCTCTATTCTATCAAATATCAATATTAGGGCGATCTGTGAAAGAGACACTTATGTCATCAAAATTTAATCTTGAATATCACAACAACTGGATAATTCAAACTCGTATTATTTAACTGAAGATTAAAACTGTCACGAAATACATTTCTTTCCAATGACATATAATCATGATTATAAATAATCATCTATAACTTAAAACAAATATGTAATTTACAACATAAAATAATTTTTTCTTTAAATAGTACTGTGAAAAATATTCCTATTTATTCATATGAGGAGACTATGTACTTTGTTTGTATCAATATTCTTATCAATAAAAAATATTAAATTCTTTTAAATGCTTCAAAGTACAATTTAGACTGAAAGCTAAGATAATCAATCATATAAAAATTGTCTTATTTTTTAATTAAATTCAATCATACAAAATCATTAATCGATCAGAAATACATTCAAATATTTCCCCTTTTTATAATCAATACTATTAACCCAGATTTATTGTGATAAGTATTATAATAAGCATTGCTCGTATATCCTAGGATAACCGAGTAAGCAATACTATTATAGTTAGGAATGGAGTACTAGGTAGGGATGGCAGATCAGTTGACGTGGTTGGGATATGTGGTGCGTGTGCCCAACCGCTCACTGCCTCGACGAACTATGTTTTGTGGTTTAGGAGTAGGATGGAAGAAAGTTAGGGGAGGCCAAACCAAAACATGGCAAAAATCCATGAAATCACAGACAAGTTGAACTGAGTCATGTTGGTCAATGTAGGCTACCTGGTCGGGGTCCGCGAGACGAAAGTCACCAAGGGTTAGAGACCTTGGACGACATGGCTCAGAATCGTTTGCGATGGCGCAAGTGCATCCACTCTGTGTTCTCTCAAATTCTAATCTTAATCCCTCATCATCTCTATCTTTCTCTTTCTAAAGTTATCTCACTGCATTATACTTCTTGAATAACATCTTCAAACCCTAATCTTCTCGATTACTACGAATACTTCTACTATCTCTACAACTATGGGATTTGAATTGATAGTTGCATCTCTGTACTAATGCAGTATGTCAACCTGAACTGATGTACGCACTTACGAAGTTCTACGTTATAACTGACTGATGAGGATGAACATAATAAATTTCGAAAACTGTGACAAACATTTTTTTAAATGATTCATCTATGACAAACTAATGTTTTTTGAAGCTCTCATTCTGAGGATTATTTATTGGCGACTGTTTTGAAAATAATTTCTTTATGCATGTTGATATCTATTCAAATGAAAATTATCCATAAATTATTCCCTTCAAAAGGCTATTTTTAATATAGAAGTTAGAGTTTAATAATGTTAAAAAAATATTGAGTAGTAATCTGTGAATTATCGTAAGAAATTATCGAAGTAAGTAATTCATTTAGTTATTGATTGATTGATCAGTTTTTAAAGTATCTGATGTTAGGATACGAAAAATTTCACAAATTTCTAATACTTTGTAAAAAAATTGCCGAGAAATTGTATTCACCTTTAAAGCCGTTTGATTTCTTTTAATTTTTAAATGAATGAATTAATAGATAATTTTAAAAACATAGAGGAGATGTTATTTCACATAAGAGAAGACAATGCTGAATAAATAAAAAACTAACTATATTAGCTGCTAACAACACAACACAACACAACACAACATTCACTTACCACCATAGATAATACGTATTTTTTCATCAACACCACTTGGTGTATTAGTTTTAAACCATTGACGAAGAAAATGATGAACATCTTGAGCTTGTTGTGGTGTAGCCACTTTACCAGTGCCGATAGCCCATACAGGTTCATAAGCTACAACAATTCGTTTCCATTGATCAGCTGTTTTAATTTTATCTTTAAAAAATAAAAATAAAATAAAATTAGATGTTGATTGTTTGTTATATTACTTACTGAAAGATTCATTGTTTGTTTTGAAAGTTTAATTAATAATTTAAAAGAACACTTTTTTAATGTCATATAAACAAACCTTTGAATATGAATCAACATAACATTTTTTTTTTGGAATAATGAACTTGAATAATGTGGTCGATCAGACAGACAGACAGACAGATACAACGCAGAACGTCGTACATAAGTATATCAGTTCAGCTTGCCATACCACGTCAGCGCAGAGACGTAACTGTCAGTTCAAATCCAAGAGCGATAGAGATAGTGGAATTATTAGCGGTAATGGAGAAGATTAGGGAGCGAAGATATGATTCGAAAAGTATAATTCAGTGAGATAAATTTAGAAGGAGAAAGGTAGAGATGATGAGAAATTCAGGAGGTTAGAATTAAAAAGCACACAAAGAGTGGATGCACCTGCGACATTGCAAACGATTCTGAGCCATATCGTTCAAGGTCTCTAATCCTTGGTGACTTTCGTCTCGTGGACCCCAAACAGGTAGCCAACATCTACCAACATGACTCAGTCCACTTGTCAGTGACTTCATGGATTTGTGACATGTTTTGGTTTGGCCACCCCTAACTTTCTTCCAACCTACTCCTACACCACAAAACATAGTTTGTCGCAGCAGTCGGTGGTTAGGCATACGTAACACATGTCCCAACCACCTCAACTGATGAAGTTTCAGTGATTCGCCTATTGATTCGCCATCCCTACCTAGAACTCGTTTCCTAACAATAACATTGCTTACTCGGTCGGTCCCATGATACATCTATGATCGATCAGTCTAATAAATAGTCAATTATCAAAAAAACAACCATTAAAGAACATTTGTATGATTTTTCATATGTGAAATGAGATCTATGCAAGTTAAATACTCTAGACAATAGACACACTGTATCATTTCAACGTTAATAATTCACTAGCTACCAAAATAGAATGAACATCAATTAAGTAACCATCCATTCTTATGCGGAAAAATTCTCACAATCATTCCCATTTTCATCTTCACTGTTATAAAGCTGATGAGCAGATTTTCAACCATTAAAAAATAGATAAACAGAATATCAACTGATTAGTTATAAATCTTGATACGATATGATTCGAGTGACAACTGTTCATGAAACCGAATTTTCAGCAAAGGCCACTCTGAATTACTTGAGATAAAATCACCAACCTTCAGAATAGTTTATCGTCCATCTAATAAACTGCTTATATACAAGATTTTAATTGTGCTATCAATATGATTAAGTGTCATCAGTGACTGGTGAAATCATCACTCTGTAAGTTTCTAACTCTTCAGTGAATTAACACCAGACAGTTTGGATTTACTGTTACACAGAAAGAAAGAACATTTATGAAAGATAAACCGGTATAAAGTTTCACTAGAATAAAGATCTTTATTTGAAATAGTGCTGTTTCGACACATTATGATTGCCAAAAGTTTTTTTCAACTCATTTTCCAGTCCATCTCAAAATTAGACACATTCGCTAAAAAAAATCAATACTCATCACTATTATCAAGTAAACCTTTTATTTAGACAAGACAGAAGTATATATAACGATGTGCTTGATTGAATGTTCAATACTCCATAGAAGTTAAGCAAGGAAGAAGAAATGAGTAAGGGATAAGTGAGGATGTCCACACTCTGAAGTTCGCACAAAAGTAGAGATCATTCTTTAAAATGGAAAACATCTAGAAACAAGTCAGTTATTGATCATCTTCCTGAGAAATAAATCATAACATAACAAACTACATGAAATACTTCATAGTTAGCATCAATCCGGGATGTTGGGAAAAATTTGCATCGGTTTCGGCCGGTACACTACTTCAAGTGGGACATGTGTTGTGTATGCCTAACCACTGACTGCTTCGTCGAGCTTTGTTTTGTAGTGAAGGAATAGGTTGAAAGAAAGCTATGGGTAGCGAAACCAAAACATGGCAGAAATCCATGAAGTCACTGACAAGTGGACTGAGTCATGTCGGTAATTGTCGACTACCTGGTCGGGATCCGCGAGATGATAATAATCGATGGTTACATACCCTGAATGACATGGCTTGAAACCGTTTGCAATGGCGCCGGTGCATTTACTGTTTGTGTTCTCTCAAATCCTAATCTTATGGATTCTTCAACACCTCTAGTTTTGCCTTTCTAAACCTTACTCATTTAATCATACTTCTTGAATAATAATCTTGTCATCCTAACCTCTCCGATTACTTCTAATACCTTTACTACCTCTTCTACTATTGGATTTGAATTGACAATTACATCTCTGTGCTGATGTGGTATGGCGACATGAACTGATGTACTTACGTACGAAGTTCTACGTTGCATCTGACTGACACTACTTCAAGACAACAAAATGACATTAACAAAATAAGCAGAAAATAATTCAAAATAATATCACCATGAATTACTAAACGTATAGAACATGACTTGAAGAGTTGGTAGGTTTCAAATTAGCTAAATATCTAAATATGATTAATGATTGATTAGCTTACTTGCGATAGCTTTTAATTGTCTTACGCATACTTCTTCTGTTTTACCAGATTCACGCTCTGATAATGTTTCACCAATACAAGCGATCACACTTAGACCTTCATCAATTGCATGTTCAACTTTATCAGCAATAAGCTTATGGGAAAAATTAAAAATAGTGAAAAAAAGCATTCTAGAAAATAATTTATTAAAGTTAATGCATTTAAATTTGATCTGATGACTTTATATGAATATAAAATTGAGCAAATCGCTCTTCATCTAGTACCTAGATGAATAGAAAAAATATGGACTTCTGACGTTTCGCTACTTAACAAAGGTCACCACCTTTTCAAAAAGTGAATAAGTTTAAACTTGGTGTATTACAAATGTATAACTTTTATCAACAATAAATAAACTTGATTAAAGTATTATTAATTTTTTTCAAAGTTTCTCGTTTTGGAGTGTTTAGGTAAGAATATCTTCAATGCTTCTTATCACAGTAAAGTGTATAATATTGCAAAAAGCCATTCGGGGAAGTGATCTTAATCAAACAATGTTGAAATCCCTATGTTCCTTTTAAAATTTTGTATGACAAAGGCTTTAAATCACTTATGGTGTCTATTGTAGAGATTCGCTCAACTTTAGACATCTTCCGTTACAAATTTATATCACTTACGTAATTATTGATACACAAGGGGCACTGGATATTTTTTTACGTCTTCATTTCAAGTTCTTCAACAATGAAGATACATCTGAAACCATTTCGTAGAGAAAACTATCTTCTAAATAGCTTTTTTATGGTTAAAATGTGACGCGTTCAGCAAGAAAACATGCGCCACATGTTATTTTATTGAGATTTATTTGTTCTATCGGGTGAAACAAACATTTAGCTCAATGTCAGTAACTATTGATCAATCGAATAATTTGATTTTATGTTGCTTATTTTCATGGTATAATAATTAGGCGATATATAGGCCTAGTTAACTATGTAGAGTACACTAATTTGGAAACTACCTATACTCCCTGATGATTTATTTGAAAGTATACGATATTTTATTCAAGAAGTTATCACCGGAAGATCGTTGTATCCAATTGAGTGATTTACACCTCAATTCAACAAGAATGATCTGTCTCCCATAGTTTTACTAAATAAGGTTGCTGTGAAGTTCATTTCGTTAATGGTTTCTTTCTTATATGAAGATAAATGACACAGAATATAGGACAACTATGCTCAAATTTTACATCATAATAATATGTAAAGATTATGAGGAATAAACTCGAAAATAGAAAATTATTAGTTCATTAAATTGGAAAACAAAAACTTCTAGTAGTGATTGAAATAAATAATCAGGTTATAAGCTGTTCGAAATATTTCATTATCATAAATGAAACCAATAATCTGTAACGTCACTGACTGATGGGATGGATTAGTGTTTAGAACACTAGCTTTATTCGACCAAAACGTAACTTAAAATGTTGATCATGTGTCGTGATGGCATCAAATGGTGATCACCGATAGTTTCAGTATCTGATTCATTACCTGTACTGATTATTCTTGAAGTGCTTTCGGAATTAATCACTTTCCAGGTCCCCCATTACTAAGACACTCTCTGTCACAGTTAAACACCATTTTACATCATTGAGAAGGCAGGAAGTTGAAGATTATCCTAACCATCTTAATAGACAGACCTCCGTATTGTCTATGACAGAAATATCTTAAATCAGCTTAGTATTGTAAAGGTGAAAAAATACACATATGGATGGGTTGTGAATATATTTCTCACTCATTCAAGCTCTTTCTCACCTCTTGCTTTCTCATTCAAATATCAAGCGTGCACTGCACTAACCAACTCTGTTGACCACAGTACATGACGAGCTAAGAACATTCGTCCATAAATTTCTCCAGAAAAAACTATATTGCTTTGATAGGATCACTACATAACCGAAGAAAACTAACTCCTTAATTCAAGTTATTGATTAACGGACAGTAGGAACAACAAGGAAATGTACCTAAAGTAATACTATAGGTAACTGATGAAAATTTACCAATTTTTTTATCTTCACTGTATATCAACCAGCTAGATAGTGGTTTGAGATTATATAATTCACTATATCTATCAATCTTGTAACATTCAGTGCTGTTTTTAAAGCTTTCAGATATTGACTACGACCACTAGTTTCTTTTTAACTAATTTGTTTTTGTGAAGTCAAAAGGAATTTAATTAGTTACGATGGTTAACTACAATTAAATACAGCAAGAACACCTTACATAGACAGAATGTCGAAAATGGATTTATTTTAGTATGACTTAATATTCAGCAAACATGATTGCACACCATATGCGGTCTTAATTTAGGTCTTGAGCAGATAAACTTTTAAGGTCCTATTTAGTTATTGCAAACGCCATTTTCATAACTTGGTACATGCGTAAAATAATATTTACCTCAGTGTCTATGAGGTAGTTTTGAAGTATCGAACCGATTAGGTTTTGAAAGTCAAAAATAAAATAAGATTAGTTGTGTCTCTGTCTGTTAATTTATTCATACATTACTAACTAGTAATTCATGTGTTATGAATCGCTTACAATGGTATCGTTAAAAGACTTACTTCATCAGATTCACCAAAAATGCTTCTCCTCTCAGAATGCCCAAGTATAACCCAATCACAACCGATATCTTTTATCATTGCGGGACTAAAATATATTAACATAAAAAAATTATTTAGCGGATGTATCATTTGCTACAAATTTGAAACGAAAACTAAACAAATGTATTAAGAACATATTTTACATTTTCCAAAATTGTACCAGAAGTAGAATTTTAATCTCATTTGCTTATTGAAGATAAGTGGAAAGTTTTGGTATGATAAATCACACATTCATGAGGTAAAACAGGTTACTATTTTAGGCCATTTTGAAAATACACCTTCTTAAATAAAATGGACTTATCGGCTAACAAAGCTGACTATATATAACGACGGATTCGACTGCTTTGGATTGTTCGCAGCCAGTATTAGGAAAGTGAGAGAACTGATGATAATATATATCGCATTAAATCACGTCCATAAACCATTTTACCTGGGCCAAACGATTGCGTTTTACGAATTAAATGCCGAAGAATTGCAAATCAGGAAGCTGACACCAAGATGAGGTCAGATTTATTTTATATTTTGATCCATCCTTTCCATTTATAGGTTACTCTTACAATCAAGCCTAATATTATAGCCTGCTTAACCATCTTATTTCTTCCTTCTGATTACCGTCCCCTTTACAGTGACTTAATATTTTATAATCTTATTATTAAACTCAACCGATTTCCTTCCTCGTACTGTGATAGCTAATGAACACTATGGCACCACTGTCCTAAATGAAACGAGTCAGATTGATATACATGAACCTGCAAATTACTATTAAATTCAAAAAGACTAGTGTGAATTAAAGACTCGAATGCTTTTGTAAGAAACCATCAAAGATCTGAAATCAAAGAGTAACACAGAAAAGTGAATCCTAACATATCAAGTGATTTACATTAACTCGAAACGAAGACACTATGTATTTAAATAAAATATCTGTCTGAAAGGAACTATACTCTCCCTACAAACTGTCTTCTAAACAAGAATGTGTTCTTTATGCCATTTTTTTTACTTATATTCCCTTTTAGTACACATACTAATCGGTGTATTTAAAGATTCGTTCGTACTGAACAAGTATTACTTGGGCAAGGATATGTGATAATTATAATATTGACTCTAGCAAACAAATCAAGTTTCAAATATTTATACAATTTTGAAAATCCAAATTCTTAATCAGCTTTTTTTGTGCACGAGTGTACAATATAACACAGTTACCTTATTTCTCCAGTAAATGCACCCTTTGGAACTTTATAGCAATTTTGAGCAGCCACATGTATTTCTTTCTTCAAAGTTCGTCGAACTTCTTGTAGGAATACGAAAGGTGGAGCGATCAAAACCTCTTAAGAAGAAACATTTTTCGGACGTGACATTGTAACAAACCTGTGTTGTCACCAAAATGAGCATCAGAGAGTATATGTAGCAACTTTTTGTTTTCTTCTTGACTTCCATTCATTTTCCAGTTTCCTCCAACAAAAAATTTGCGAGATCCAGACATTTTCTCAACGTATGAAATCAATGTAATCAGTAATAGAGAAAACCCTTCTATGGACGCGCCAGATTTCTTTATGAATGAGTCCAGCCGCCTGACCTAGTCAAACAAACCCCAAGGCAAAATGTTATCATCGGGGATCTTCATAGTTACAGATCGTATAAAACTGAAATATAGCAGATTGCTAGAAAATATAGTTATATATAATGATTCAATATGCGTATTTCAGTAGTTTAAATAATCATGGACTGAATTCCTACGATGAAGAAATAAAGTGCGTTCACAGGACTTCTTTAAACATCATTAAATATTTTAAACGCTAGGCATATCCTGTATATCCTTTTTCACAACCCGAAACACTGATGTCTGAAAAAATTTCTTATCATCATTTCCGACGCTGCAAATCACGCAGTTCCAATATCTTTTTCACCAGCTAGTATAAACCAATTGACCTATTGGATTTCGATTTTTTATTCTTTCTGTACTCTTCCAAGTATTTTTTAGGGACTAGTGGATGATAGTCTAGCCCTTCGACTTCAATCATTGTAGCAAGATGGTAGTTATGTAAGAATTTGCCAGTCTCGTAATTCGTGTGAATGCGTTTAACTCGGAGTAGTAGGGTTTCTCGATGCTGGTAACTGTCACATAACTTGCCTGGAGATAAGTTAGTTGCAGTGTGCAGAATAATCAGGAGAAAATTCTAATGCTTATAGTAAGGTGAAAATGTTGGAACTATATAAATAATTAAATAAGTTAGTTAGTTGGTATTGAACATTGCGTGAGTGGACATCAGAGTAAGCAAAGAAGAAGAAATAGTGATAATAAATGAGATAGAATGAGCAACGAATTGAGGAAAAAATAATGATAAAAATAAGCCAGCTTCAAGACTCGCTTCAGGCACAGCTATTTTCAGCGGAAGATGATGATTTATATGTGCGTACGTATTTATCAAGTCTTTTCCTCAAGCTATTCATTGAGGGGCCTTGGCATTTGATCTGGAAAAACATTCCCAATAGGCGCAAATCTTGGTGAGCAAGAGCATGTACGAACTTTTTTGTTCGGTTTTTCGAGTGTTATATCAATGAGCGTGGTTGTGACGTTGTGATGATACTCATGGAGGGATGCTGCATGCTATTATCAGATCACCTCTGATTCTCCCGCAACTTAGCAGAAATAATCCTGAGTGTTGGAGTCCGATTTCATTGAGTTTATTCCTTAACCTTATCACCTATTTACTGGCTCGTCGTTGCACTAAATTTAGCAGATTTATTTCTATTTTAGGGACAGGGGGTCGGTGTGTATTTGTGTTCAAAATAGTTAAGAACGATTGTGTTGTGATTTCACCACGTTGTCTAAGTATAAGCTAAAGAGTTGCATTAGCCCTGACTTCGTCCCTTATGTTGGTTGAACTGGTGTTCATGTTTTCTGCAGTTATTAAACTGAAATTGCGATCTGACGAAACATTAAGGATCAGATTTTATTGAGGGTGAAAGTTATCCACTTCATGTGGGACATTTCGACTACTTTAGTTTTAACCCGTTTTCCGCTACCCATTCTTCAATGGATACAGCGTCATTCTGGAGCTCAGTTGAATACTTTCCGCTTCTTACGAATCTCCAGATCCATGCATCGTCTGTGAATATGGATGCCGCTGAGCTAATTTTATCTATCAAGTCATTATTGAATATCAGGAAGGGGAGCCAGTCTAAGATGGTGCCCGTGATATGCCACATGTTGAGGTTTGCCAGCTCGCGTGCGTTCCATCGACCTTTGTAAGACAGTCTTTATTCTGTTGGTAGTTTCCATGTAAGGCCTGTTTCCGAAACTTTCGCTATTAAGCGTGCGTGTAGTATTGTGTTGATAGCTTTGGCGAAGTGGAAGAATATCGTATAAATCAGCATTTTTCTATCTCAACAAGTTTTCCAGCTGACCTATGCTTGGAAATGATAGGATGCGCGAGACCTGCTGGGATTCAAGGATCATGGTGTTATTCATCAATAACTTCCTCACTTGCTCATTCACTAATTTTAATGTTATCTTAGATAGAGCATAGGCAGTAATTAGCCTGGTGTGTCAAGTGCCTAATCACTCCTATCTTTCCCTCTGCAGACTGAAAGGAATGGCCGCGAGTTGGTGTGACTGAAGTACACGACTTAACAGGTCACATATTGGTGAACTGACGGCTTCCGCACACTGAAGACTATAGGGTGAACATTGTGACATACTGGTGACTTTTCTGGACTCCTAGATATTAGTTTCACGGGATGTTCACTTGGTACTCACAATTTGATTTAAGTAGCTTTGTAAACATGTAAATAACCGGCCTGAATAAACGTTGTAGTTGCTATCTAAGATATTAACTATCTCTATTTTTGTGGGATCTTAGCCATTAGGAATTTTTGATGTTAGAAACACCCTGGTTTACAGGTTTTCTTTTAGTCACGAACCTAAGAAGATATTTATGGTTTGCCTGTATTTAAGCTGGTAGCTTCGTCTGAAAGTGTCTTGCCAGTAAAATCTTCGATATCTGTTAATCAATGCTAAGAAAGTACTGCAGTCAGAATCTTTCAAAAAGACCTTCCACCTATGCCAGGCTCTCCTCTTTGCCTGTTAAAGCGTTTAGAGCCTCGCTGAACCAATATTCTTCTCTTTCGATTAGCGACGATAGTGCTCGTTTTCGCTACCCTAAGTATTTCCCGTATGACCGTGTTAAACATGACTGTGCCATATTCACTATTTTCTATTGGTATGTGGAAATTGATATGCTCGAGCAGGAGCTTATCGTTTGTTAAAAAATAATCCAAGTTTGAGGATTTTCCGTTCTTATCTTATCCGGTGGCCTTTCATACATTTTCAGTCAGTCCAGAACTGTTAATGTCTGCGCCAAGTCGCCTGTGGAACGAACTTGTAGGAGTTGTATCAAACATATGGACTGGTAGCTGCATTACTGCCTCAATCAACTGATCTTTCTGAGCCCTATTACTTGAGCAAAGTCGGTAAATCGCTACAATCAAGTATTTTGTCTCACTAGTGGTGAAGCAACACAACTATGGCTTTGTCTCTTAGGTTAATTGGGTATTTTTTATTGTTACAGTTTTGAAATAGCTGTTTATATTTATAGCGACACCGGCTTCAGTCCGGTGTACACTATCGCATGAGAAGAGTGACACGTCTAATAAGCACAATCTGTCGTGTTCAATGTCAGAGGGATAGCCAGTTTTCAGTTAGGATTATGATCTCCAAATCTTTCTCAGTGTATACATTCCCGATCTGCAAAATCTTGCCTCTTAGTCCTTTTATATTGCTTTAAGAGGACTTGATGATTTGTTTCATCATTTGAAACACTTCATCAGCAACAGCCATTATCAGGTTTCTCAAATAAGTTATTCAAACACCGTTGGCCAGTACTATGTGAACTGGTCCCTGCAGATATTTGTTTGTGCAAAGTATTCATTTGGTGAGATCATGTTCTCTGTGTCTTGTGCACTGGGTAATCGACCGAGGTTGATTGACATTTATGTATTTGTATTTCAGGATTCTTATTGATTGCTCATTGATCCACAGCCGCTGTTGCAACATCCAATATGAAAAGATCTGTATCAAACTTGAGTTGAGTCTGTTGGGTTTGGAAAGTTTGCTGAGACCTGACATAGAGACTCAACAGTCGTAAAGTGTGGCGACGAAGCAACCGATAGACGCTAGTAACCATTGTGGTATGAGGACTAACTGTTATGCTTGTCAATCGATATGCTTGAAACTATTACCGGTTCACCTTGGTCGATTAACGAGAACGAGACAATGAATAAGTAACACGGTAGGCTACTATGATCCGTCGTTTCACAGGAACTGACGAAAAAGTCTTGATATGGCGTAGAAAGTGTTTTCTACAAACACCTAGCAAACACAGTGATCTCAAACAGACAAATTGCGTTTATTTATACACCATATGACGTCCTTAGGTGGTTCATAAAAGAAGCTCAATAAAATAACACATCGATCCATGACTGCCAAGGATTTTCCTGGTGGGAAACAAGATCGCAAGGTTAACTGATCAGCCCATGAACAAAATCCAAAATTAATGACTTTATCAAGTGAGGTATGGAGATCTAACGTCCCCAACACTAAAGCTAACTGTTAACCATAACATGTGCATGAGATTCACTCGAGCTACCGACAATCAGCTCAGACACTGCTTGTACCACTGTACTAGTTTGTGTTTGGATTCCTTCAGACATACTTGCAACTGCTCGCAGCGACCATTTTTTGTCACATCTGACTCAGTTCAGGGAGAATATCTTAACCGAGAATCTCTGAGATGTCAGTGACATTTTTTCCAACGTCTCAATTCCTGATTCGTAGCTTCAATGGAGCTTTTGTTTACCTTTGATTCTCATAGTAACCTAGCGTGAATCCAATAACTGTCCTACATGTACTGTGTTCGGAAGTGATTGAATGTTTGTTTGCTGACGAAGCAATTAAGAAGAGAGCAGTTGACCGTGACAGCCAGAACCACAACACAGTGGTTCCGACTTGGTATGATCACGTTTATCTGGTTTTCTACTTGGACTACCAATCAGGGAATCGACACAATGTTCAAATACTCGACAATGCCTAAATATCCTAATCTGGCGTCTTAAACTGAATTATATTTTATTAATGGTGAGAGGACAAGTCAATTTCGAAGAGATTATTGTCAACCGCTACCTAAGATGCTGAGGATTATGCCAGTCATAGAGGAGTAGTTCACCCCATAGTGTGACTTTTAATTTATGCTGTATTACATCTACATTACACTGGTCTGGATAGGTTACACAGAATTGCGGTTGTCATTCTACTACAAGTGGAATCAAATAGAGAAACTGACCGAACTGGCATTGTGGTGAAACTGTATATCTAAATTACACAAAATCCAGAGTACTATAAGTTTCAAATAGTACTATGGACGACTTTCGTATAACACCACCTTTCAAACCACGAAAACGTCATTTTTCTGAGTATATATTGTTTTATATCCTATGGTCGATATATAGCACCTCGCCATCCATTCTTTATTCTTCGATGATTAGTCGTTTAAATTATTGGACAATGGTATCGACAATATTTGTGTTTTTGCAATAATTCGGTAACAGAATCGATTATTGTGCGTTTGATTGTGTGTGTGTGCTTACTTGCCTATTACATGTCAAGCTTAATGTTGTCTGACTATAA